TCTCAGGGCAAGGAGATTAATTTTCCTTCTTAAAAACATGAATCAGTCTGGGGGGTAGGGCATGGTTTTAGTGGTTTAGCACATGCCTAGCAAAGAGCAAAGCCCTGAATTCTTTTTTTTTTAATTTAATTTTATTTTATTTGTGAACATACTGTACAGAGGGGTTACAATTACATGGGCAGGATAATGCGTACATTTCTTACCAAGCATTGCAGCCTCCTCCTTTGTTTACCCTTCCCATCCCTTCCCAGCCTCCCCCCTCCCAATCCCAATCCCAATCCTACTCCTCCTCCCCTTCCCCCCCTCCCCACACCGACGTTGTAAAGCTCGTTTTGGACATGACTACTTGTACTTCTCATTGTTGCAACAGGTCCACCTGTATCCTTAAATGACTTGTTTTTCCCCATCTCCTCCACAAGTTATACTGACATCAAATACAGTGAAAGCAGGGGTTATACTGTGGGGGAGGGACATACAAAGCAACAAAGAAGTAATCTTATAAATACGTTAGAAACACATGCATGAAAGAAAAAAAAACATTAAAATACATATCTAAGGGTTCATTTTCTTAACATCACATTATCTGACCTTTTCCGCTGAATTCTAACTTCAGTATCTATGCCTTTAATTCCCATTTCCTGCATGGGAGAATGAACTGATTTTCTTTTTCTATTTCTACTTACTTTATCCCTGTTATACTAAAATAAATCACTGGTGGTGGTGGGGAGGGGGTTGTGAAGAACACAATTTAGCCTAGTTATACCCTTGCTTGTCTTTAGCTAAGTGCTGGTAGCTCAAACCTGTAATTCTAGGTACTCAGGAGGCTGAGACTTGGAGGATTATTGGGTTCAGAGCTAGCTTAGGCAAGAAAGACGACTAAATAGGCTGAGAAAGCACAGCTGAATCCTTCAACACACAATTCAAGAAAGCCTCACATGTTTAAGTTAAGTTTAGTTTTAACAGCTGTATAATCTAGAACTGATGGGACAGCAAAGAAACCATTAATTTTTTTTATTTTTAAGGATATTTTTATACCCATACATTGTTGTCATAAATAGTTTTCTAGGACATGGAACAGAAACTGCCCTTTTGATCTGAGGAACTTTTATAGATGAATTTGTCTTGCTTTTTATTGCAAATTTGTATGATGTATTTAACGTAGTTTTTAAAAATGATATCTTTAAGTAGTTGTACAAAGAAGTTCCTATTCTATAAAACAGTATACGAGTACATGGTGTCTTGACAACATTGTCACCCATCACTCCTTATTTAATGTAGATTTAGTGCTTATACATGATTCTTGAGTCTTGTACTTGAGTTGTTTTTACAAAATGAAAATGAGTTTTAGGATTATATTATACTTATGTGACTGCTATAGTAGCCACAAACTCCTTGTGTGACTTGTTTTATTTTTCTTCTCTATTTTTTTTCTGTCTTAGAAGCTTTATTTACCAATTGCAATAAAATTAATATTTTTTCTGTGATATACTCAGCAAAATACTGAGAGCAGTAAGAATGTATTTTCTTGCCTGTATTTGGACTATGCATATATCACAATAAAAGCACAAATCTTCCCACACCACTGATACATGTGCCTTTCCTGTAGAAAGGTTTTGAGTCTTATTTAATTTGAAGGTGAAATTAAGGGACTGCTGGGATAGAGTAAGTAATGGAAGCTCTAGGAAACGAAAGCAAGGTCATGGGAGTGAATCGGTGGCTCTTAAAAAGGGGCCTCGGAAGTTCATGTTTTTAATTGAGTTCTGCTTTCTTCACCTTATTTTCGAGTCACTGTGTTATTCTTCCTGTAGGGTGGCCTCAAATACAGCCTCCAACTTCTGTAGTCTCCGTTATGGATCGCTAAAGAGATGTGGTTCAGAAAGCCATCAGTAATCTCAAGAATGCTTTGAAATGACTGAAATTACATACACATGTGATTTTTTTGTTTTTGTTTTGTTTTTTGTACTGGGCTTGAACTTCTGTTCCACTTTTTTTGCTCATGGTTGGCTTTCTGCTACTTGTATCATGCCTCCAAATTGTCATAGTTAATTGGAGATGAGGTCTGTTGGACTTTCTGTCAGATCTTGGCCCCCTGCTCACTCAGCCTTCTGAGTACCTAGGATTATTGACTTGAGACACTGGAGCCAGCACAAAACATTCTTCTTGCTGAGGGGTTAAGACTGGCAAACGGGGCTACGTTTCTGTAGTATAGAGCCTAGGACTGCAGTTGGTCATGACACTTCTCTGAGGGCTGGGCTATGTCCTTGCTATGGGCTTGTGGGAATGAGAGAGTATACATTCTCATCCGAGCAACAGAAGGGGACTCCTCTTGGGAAATACTTTTAAGTTGGGATCTGTAGTCAGAGCTGTGTCTTCCTGATTTCTTTTATATGATGTCTCCTCATTTGCAGTGGTCTCTTACTTAGCACGTTGTACTACTTGTGAAACTTAATATTCTGTCTGGTTTTATAATTAACAAAATTTCTCTCTGAGGGCTGCCATGGGATTTAGTCCTTTTTGCATTTGCCCTCGTACTGGCTACGTTATTCAGGGAATCAAAGCAGAGTCAGTTGTTGTAGATAGTCATTAAATTACAATTGTTGACAATGAATTGTTGATGCTATATTGTAATCATTCAAAAGTTGGTTGTTGGAAGTGGTGCGGTGGCTGAAAGTGATAGAGCTCTAGCCTTGAGCAAAAGAGCTCAGGGACATTGCCCAGGCCCTGAGTTCAAGCCCTATAACTGACCAAAAAAGAAGAAGAAAAAAAGAAGTTGGTTGTTATTGTTGTTTTGCTTCTTTTTGTGTACTGGTCCTGGAGCTTGAACTCAGGTTCTGGGTACTGTCCCTGAAGTGGTTTTTTTGTTTGTTTGTTTTTGTTTATTTTTTGCACAGGACTAGCAGTCTACCATTTGAATCACAGCTCCACTTCTGGCTTTTTGGTGTCTAAATGGAGATGAGAGTCTCACAGACTGGGCTACTTTCAAACTGCAGTCCTCAGATCTCAGCCTCCTGAGTAGCTAGGGTTACAGGTGTGGGCCACTGGCACCTGGCTATTCAAAAGATTTGAAGAAGCCTGGAGATAAAAATCACAAAACTCCCAGCTCAGATGTTTTGCCTTCTATAATTAGCCACTGTTGTGGTTTGGTGACTAGGAACCCTGAGCTCTGAGCCAAGCCCATCTGCAAATGGCCGGGAAGTGCCACAAGGCTCTCCCAGGGTCTCAGCGTCCCCAACAGGACATGTTTGATGTAAAGTCTGTGGTGAGAGTAGTGTTATAGTTAATCCTACTAGGTAAGATTGATTTTGTGGACATGCACATGTTCTGTTTGCACAAGTGCCTATGCGTGTGCTGGGGATTGAACTCAAGGCCTTACACTTTCACTTGGCTTTTTCCCCTCAAGGCTATCACTTTACTCCTTGAGCCATTTCTGGCTTTTTTTTTTTTTTTTTGCTGGTTAATTGGAAATAAGAATCTCATCGATTTGTCTTCCTGGGCGATCTTTAAACTTTGATCTCAGATCTCACTTTCCTGAGTAGTTAGAATTATAGTTGTGAGCTACTAACTCTGAGACTTTTTATTATTATGATGATGATTTTGTGACAGGATCTCACTGCATAGTTTCAGGCAGTTCTGGAACTTTCTTGACTTGAATTTGTAGTCCTTCCTCCTCCACCTGAATGTTAGAATTATAGGCATATGCCACCACACCTGGCTCAGATTTACTTTTTAAAACTTAGGCACATGCTTATAATTCGATCATTATTTGCATATGTGAATGCTGTGTTGCTGAGACTGCATATCCTTCCCCAAAGTGTTGGTTTTGCTTGTGTGTTTGCTTTATCAGGCAACTAATTTGACAGGGCTACAAATTCTGGGCCTACAGTAGGTAGCCACTTGAATCTCTGTTTAAAATATTTAATCTTTAGTGGTACTTGGATTCTGCCCTGTATACTGTATGTTAAGTGAAAAGCTGTAGACTTGGCCAAGTTGGTAAACAGAATTTGGGCTCTTCTTCCTTGTAGGATGTCTCCTCTATTTCAGTTCTTGTTTTTATAGCTCCACTGGCCTTGCCCTGCTAATAACTAATAACATGTACCCTGTGCCATGCTTTAAGTTTCTCTAGTCCAGTCTCAGCTTCAGCTCATGTTCCTCCTGCCTAAACTTCCCCAATGCTGGGGAAGGTGTACCCTACCACATCTGGACAGTTACCATTTATAGATGTTATGATGTCAGGGCTGGTCCTACAGGCACAGAAGAAGCACAACACTAGCTCATCTTTTAGTTCAGCTTTCTATTCCCTAGTATACATGTGATAGTTGTGATCAAGATAACATTTTGGATGTTTTTCTTTTAATATTTGGTAAAAACAGAAAAATAAAAATAGAGAAAGTAGTCTTTTATTTTTCCTAGAGATTATTTTGTAAACAATGATAGTTACTGGTTTTGATGAAGATCTCTGAACCTAGATTACCTCTGTTAGGAATACTTCCAAGAGAATATCCTAAACCATGAGCCAAGAGGGAACAGTGGCCCATCCTGGCTGTTTCTAATAGCCTCTGTGCCAGGTTTATTTTTAACCATCTCTAAAGCCTGTGAGGAGGAGGCATTGAGCTCCCTCTAGAGGATTTACTGTGCTACAAATAGCAGTTTTTCAAAGCAATGCAAATATCTTTGCCAGTATCTAAATTAATCTAAAGTAAAATGAGGATTAGGTAAATGATTGTCACTGATGATTTGAGATCAGAATTTTTATTGTCAGAAATTAATGTTTTGAGACACCAGCTTATGGACTTGTGTAGAACTCATTACTCAGCGTTAAAGTAGAATAAAGGTCTACTACATAGCCTGATTTTTGTGGAATTTAAGATGCTTTTATGTAAGATGCTTTTACGTTGACTTAGTGGGTATGAAGAAAGTTGCAGTGGGGCACTGGATACATTGGCTAATGAATGTCACTCAAGCAACCCAGTAACATAATTTTCTCCTTGTATATTTCAGGGTTTCGGAAAAACGATGAGATGAAAGCTATTGATGTTTTGCCAATTCTGAAGGAAAAAGTTGCATACCTCTCAGGTAATCCTTGACTTTCTGCTTTTATTTGATTTTTCTGTCATCATGTGTGTTTGACATATTAAACTAGCTTACCTGCCACAGCATATTAAACTTTGGCATTTCATTGGGTTTTTATCTGCTTTGTTCTCGTAGTATTTTCCTGAGAAATTATTGCCGAAAACACTTTCTTCTAGCCAGTGGGAATATCATAAATGAGACAATCAAATTATGTTTGTCTTTTTACAAACATTTGGTCTTTGTGTTCAAGCAGTTAATTAACAGCTGCTTTTTAAAAGCCAGTCATTCCTTTAATCCGAACTACTCAGGAGTCTGAGATCTGAAGATTGTGGTTTGAAGCCAACCTGGGCAGAAAAGTCCATGAGACTCCTATTTCCAGTTAACCACCAAAAAGCCACCAGTGAAGCTGTCTCTGAAGTAATAGAGTGCTAACCCTGAGCAAAATGCTCAGGGATAGTGCTCAGGTCCTGCGTTCAATCCTCAAGACTAGTACCAAAAAAAAAAAAAAAGTCATCTCAGCCTTAGTGATAAAAAAAGAGTGTGACTGTACATACACATGTCTTAGATGTTTTATCTCTGAGCTTTATCATTTATAGCTTTTTGTTGCCTTGTCTTCTGGGAGCTGAGAAAAATCACACAGAAAGCTCCTTCTTCAAGGCTCTCTGGTCCTAGAGTTCCTAGAACCAACTTCACAAGCCAGAAAATCTTGATGATCTCTAGCAATTGAGACCTTCTATTTCTGTTGAAGCCTGAGTTTTGGACCTGACCCTCAGCAGTGTGGAGATAAGATTCCAGTGTAGTCTCCTGGGCATCAGAACAGTCCATTCTTCTGAACATCAGGACAAGTTTTGGTGCTTTTTGGCTATGGGAACAAGCAGAATAGCTATTCTGTAGTACACCTTACAAAACAAAAGTTTGCATGAGTTTTCTGCTGTGGTTTATCAGGAAATGAATCTGTAGATTGTCCCAGTTCCTAAGTAGTCTTGAGGGATGCCTTTTCCTTGACAGATTTTTATCTTTTTGAGACAGGCACTCTTTGCATATCTGATAGATATATCCACATTGAACATATTTCATTTAAAATTTGTAACTAGTAGCTGCTTTCATTTGTTTTGGATGTTCTTTGGGCATATTGTTTTGGTATACATTTAGGGTGAGGCTTCCAATGCTATTTTTGCCAATATTGCTTTAGTTTTTAATATTTCTTGGTCTCTAGTAAAGAACACTTGATTTGAGGACAGTGAATCTTAATTCACAGTGCATTTCCAAGGTTAGTAGTAGAGTGTTGTTAGAAGCTCATGAAGAGAAAATAATAAGTCAATTGCTAGAAATAGTTGGTTAAAATAAACAAATTCCTGGCTTGTAATAGCAGTATACTGAAATTTAAAAGTAGTATTCATTTTCTCTTTTCTGATCATTTACTGAAACATTGCAGAATAAGGCTCAGGCCAGCTTATGAATTTTGTAGTTTATAGATAGATTCAAAGTTAGTTAAAAAGGCTCTACTTTGCTGGGCACTGATGGTTCATTCCTATAATCTTAACTACTCTGGGGGCTGAGATCTGAAGATAGCAGTTGGAAGCCAGTCTGAACAGGATAATTCATGAGACTCTTATCTCCAATTAATTGCCCAAAAATGAAATAGTTGGGCACCAGTGGCTCATGCTTGTAACCCTGACTACTCAGGAGGCTGAGATCTGAGGATCGTGGTTCAAAGCCAGCCCAGGCAGGAGAGCCCATGAGACCCTTATCTCCAGTTAATCACCTGAAAGGCTGAAGTGATGCTGTGGCTCAAGTGGGAGAGCACTAGCCTTGAGCTGAAGAGCTGAGGGACAGCACCCAGGCCCAGAGTTCAAGCCCTACAACTGACAAATTACAAAAAATAAATAAAATAAAAGCTGGAAATGGAGCTGTGGTTCAAGAGGTAGAGGACCAGTCTTATGCACAAAAGCCTAGGCCCTAAATTCAAACCCCAGCAGCAGCATGTGTGTATGTGTGTGTGTCGCGTGCGCACAAACACACACACAAATCTCACAAATCTGTACTTCTAAATCTTAAAGCACTAGTGGGGAAAGCTTAAAGCCAATTCTGCAGCCTTTTTTCTTTTCTTTTCTTTTCTTTTTTTTGCCAGACCTGGTGCTTGAACTCAGGGCCTGGACACTGTCCCTGAGCTTCTTTTGCTCAAGGCTAGCGCTCTACCACTTGAACCACAGTGCCACTTTCAGCTTTTTCTGTGTATGTGGTAATGAGGAATCAAACCCAGGGCCTCAGGCATGCAAGGCAAGCGCTCTACCACTGAGCCAACTTCCCAGCCCCTTCCACTGTCTTCTTAAGCATACTAAATAGACATGTGCAGACATGTGAATGTTCAGATCAGTGGATTTTATTTGCATTTATTCTTTTATTAGTTAATACAGAATTTATTAACAGGTGGCGTTTTTATCTGATTTCCTGGCAAACATGAAACTTTTTTACCTTTTATAACTAATCAATGAAATAAAACCAGTAATATTCCAGAATTTGTTATAAATCTTTAATGAAGTTATAAGTTCTGCAAAGTTAAAGTTGGATATATTTGGTAAGAAGGTTTGTTTTGCATTGGCCACAAACGAGGACAGAATCATTTTGAAATATTAGTGATGGAAGGACTTGGACTGGCTTTGAGCAAAGAGCTGCCACACAGCCCATGATAGAATTGTCTAGTTGTATTGCATAAGCTTCTTGCTGATTATTTTGTATGATAAAGGAAGGCGGGAAGGAAACCCCCACAAAATCAAAAGCAGACTGATTATTTATATTTTTTTGAAAAGTTCCTAATATGAGTGAATTTTCAAGAAAGTTTTAGCTTTCTAACTCCCGCCGCCTGCCTGTGTCTTTTGGGGGGACTATGTACACTTTCAGGCAGGTAGTCTGCCACTGAGCTAGGGAGCCTGGCGACGCTCCCCATCTAAACACTGCATTTCTTTTCTGTTAGATGAACTTTGGATATCATTTAAATCCAGCTTTTTAAGGTGTATGACATTACTCTTTATTCTTTTCTCCCAGCAGTGCTAGGGTTTGGACTCAGGGCATGGGTCTTTCCCTAAGTTTTTGTACTTAAGGCTAGTGTTCTACCACAGCACCGTTGACCCACAGCACCATTTCTCGCTTTTTGGCAATTGGAAATAAGAGTTGCACAGATTTTTCTGCCTGGGCTGGCTTTGAACTGCAATCCTCAGATCTCAGCCTCTTGAATAACTAGGATTCCAGGCATGAGCCACCAGTGCTAGGCTTGTAGCGTTATTTTTAATAGTTCAGGTAAAGGAACACAAACTTGAAACTTAAAACTCTGTTTTTTACCCAGATACTATTCTCATTTGGGTACCTCGTTTGACATTGACAACCATTTTAAATCTTGGAAAAGTATAATTTTAATAGATATTCTGGAATTGATTCTAGGCTCTCTGAAGTTCAGAGATCATGTCTCTCTAAATTAAAACTGCATTTTATCCTTTCTAAAATTTTTATTTTAACCTGAGAGTATTTAGGGGAGCCTCAGTGGTCCCAGCCTGTCCTAGACCTCGGATAAAATCAGAGAAGTTAGCATGTGAAAAGGATTCATGGACCATTAAATAGAGAATATACCATTCATTTTAGCCATATAAATATTCAAGCAATCCTCCTGCCTTAGCTGCCCAAGTGCTGGGACTACAGGTGAAATTGGATTCTACTTCCTGCACCTGTAGTAGAGCATGCATTGCATGTATTGTAAGAAAGTCTAATACTAGCCATTGGTATTTATTCTCTCTGTGGAATCAAACATTAAGTTTAATTTCTTAAAAAAAATTCAGATTGGTGATCCAGAAAAAAAATGTTAGATGCTGTTTGTTCTTCTCTTTACCCAAAGTGAGAGAAATGCTACATTTTAATTATTCAAATTTTTATAATGTGTTTGATATATAGTGTTTTTTATTAGATTCTGTTTTGTAAAGAGTGGAAGACAAGGGGAAATGATAAATATTATCTTTGGAATAAGAGGTATTAAAAAGGTACAGACATTGATTACCCTAAAAATAATATATTTAGAGATTACTTATTAATCATCTTCTAGCCATTATGTTAGTATTATCTCCCCAAATGACCACGAACCCTTTCTTTAGTTACTCTTTTGACATTTCATTGCTTGAAAAAGGGATTAAAGCCACTAGTTTGGAATGTATTAGCAGTTGCTCAGGGCAGAGAACTTGGCTGTGCAAATGCTGCACAATCAGTCCTTACGTCTTTATTTTAACTCTTGGAAACTCAGTATCTTATTGAAGTTGGGATGTTAAACCTGTTAATGGGGTCGTTGTGAAGATCTCATTAGCAAGTGGAGCCCATGACATCATAACTAGATCTGTCAGCACCTGTGATTTAGGATTGTTTCCCTTTGAATGCTTGACCTTCTGCATTACAAATTAGTTAACACTTGTTTTTAGATCATATGATTTAATGTGACAGATGGATCATTTTAAACATTCATAATCAGAATTACATTTCATTACTGTGATCATTCTAAAAAATTGTAAATCTACACTGGTAAAATACTAGCATGCCCTGCTTCTGAATAATTCTTCCCTTCCTCCCTCCCTGGGATTGAATTTGTTGCCTCATGCTTACTGGTCATATTTTTTTGGTCTTACTAAAGGAAATAACCTTTGTTGATACTTTTTATCTCTGGCGATCATTTTTGGTGTACAGAAAATAGTTGACTTTCATACTTTAACTCAAAGTTTGAGATCTTATATTTGTTTAAAAAACAAATAGAGGATCTGCCTGAGTAAGTGAAATTTTCCTTTTTTATTTTCTTAACTTCGATTAAAGTAATAGTTCTAACCAAGTGTTTGGTGATACCAATTCAGCTTTTTTTTTTTTTTTTTGGCCCGTCCTGGGGCTTGAACTCAAGTCCAGGGCACTGTCCCTGAGCCTCTTTGTGCTCCAGGGTAGCGCTCTACCACTTGAGCCACAATACCCCTTCTGGCCTTTTCTGAGTAGTTTATTGGAGATAAGAGTCTCACAGACTTTCCTGCCCAGACTGGCTTGAGTGGTAGTCCTCAGATCTTAACCTCCTGAGTAGCTAGGATTACAGGTGTGAGCCACTGTTGCCTGGCTACGAATTCAACTTTATTAGGATTGTGTACACGTTAATGAGAAACATGTCTGCTTTTCTGTCAAGGTCAAATACTCAGGTTTGTACTCTTTAGTATATGATGTAATTTTTCTCAAGTCCTCTACTAATCTAGTTCTGCTTTAAAATTCTTGTATATTCCCTCTTTTCTCTCTTTCTTCCCCTCTCTCTCTTCTTTCCTCATTATCATCTCTCTGTTTTATGAATGTGTGGCTTTGTCCATTGATAGATGCTAACCATGCCAGTTTATATAAGGTCGTCATTATAGTGTCAAGTTTGAAGCACATTTTTTTTTCGCTCTTTTAGGACTGATAACCTAATTTGGCTGGTAGGAAAGAGAAAGTTTAGAATGAAAGGGGATGGGAGAGTAGTGGAAAGAGAGAGGAAAGGCTGGAGAGAAATGATTATTAAAGAGAAAAGGCTCAAAGAGTGGTTTTTGTTAGTGGATGAAGTTCTTTCCAAACAACAAGTTTCCTCTAACATATTGCAAAAAAAAGGCAAGGCCATCTGTAATGTCTTCCATTTGTTTTTCAAAACTCAGATTTTCCTCCAGGTCTCATGGGGGCATAAAATATCCCCATTTTGTTCCCATTGACACAAGGTTTCGTGGGTTTTGCACAATGCTCCTGTTTGTATTTGATTTAGGCATAGTTTTGAGTAACAATGTTGGGCTCATAATGGCATATAGAAAGGTCTATGTGAACTTGATTTTTTCTTAAGTGTTCCCAATTTTGTTTCTTTAGGTGGTAGAGATAAGCGTGGAGGTCCTATTTTAACATTTCCAGCTCGCAGCAATCATGACAGAATACGGCAGGAGGATCTCAGGAGACTAATTTCATATCTAGCCTGCATTCCTAGGTAAGTTCTCTATGGTTGTGACTTGTCACTTTTTTCACAGATCCTAGAGATGTTGTACTGTTTTCTCTCTAAAAAAAAAAAGAACAACAACAACAAAAAACAGTTTAATGATAACTGAATTTCAAGGAAATAAAATATAAAATTAAGGTTATATTCTTTTTCCGACTTCTATGTTGTGATCGTTATTGACTTGTGCAAAACACTCCGTATTTAGGGAAAAGAAGGCAGGAATCTTTATTTCTGCTATAGTAATACGTGCTATTTAGATTTCGTTTGTAGAGTTAAGTGACAACGTGGAGAAGATTTTTCTGTATATTAAAATTTCAGTTTCAAGTTTTCCAATTACTTTTTGAGAAATAGATTATTCTGATATAATCGAAGGATGTAGCTATGCCTCAACAAGAGATAGAATATGTGTATGTGTTGAGGATTAGAAGAGTCTTCTTCTGCATGTAGAGGCAGTTCCTTAGATGTTTTTTCCCCAGAAAGGCCCATGATGAAAAGTTACATAAAAGTTATCTGTGGTAGAAAGACAATATTAGTAAATTAGAACATGTAAAAGAAAATATAGTTATCAGATAGTAACCAACCTATCTACCGACTTCCCTCCCTCCCTCCCTCCCTCTCTTCCTCCCTCCCTTCTTCCTTCTGTCCCTTCCTCCCTCTCTCTCTCCTCCCCTTCCTCCCTCCCTCCCTTCCTCCCCTCCTCCCTCCCTTCCTCTCTTCCTCCCTCCTTATCCCTCCCCCTCTCCCTTCCTTTCTGTGCTGGTCCTAGCACTTGAACTTAGGAGCCTCAGTGCAGTCTCTGAGCTTGTTTTGCTCAAGGGTAGTGCTCTACTACTTGAGCGACAGCTCTACTTCCCACTATTTTGAGATTAATTGGAAATAAGAGACTTGTGGACTTTCCTGCCCAGGCTGGCTTCAAACAGTGATCCTCAGATCTCAGCCTCCTGAGTAGCTAGGATTACAGGCATGAACCCAGTGATAATAACATTTAAGGAACATTATTCAAGAAAATAATATAAAATGATCAGAATGATGTATTTTAAAAGGTTGAAGTAGATGTAATAGAGCCTACCTGATGATGTTGTTTATGGCACTCTTAACTGGCTTGTGTTGACATTAACCAGGGAAGACAGTTGTGCTTCCCTTTGTATCACATCTCCCAGTAGCTGATGAAAGTCAGCTTTTGGTTTGGATGAGTTGACCTGCTGAGGACGTTTTTGAGGTTTTCTATGAGATGTAATTCATGCAAAGCAATCACTGTGTGTCACCAGTGACTAGTAGAGAGTCCTCCTTGAAAACATTTTCCTTTTCTCTTATTCTCATACTTTTTTGGACTACTTCACTTGATAGGCTTGGGAAAGGGTTTAGAAATGACTCATTACTCACTTACTCTTTAGAAATAACTGGTTTGTAGCTCTCTATTAATGAGTTCTTAGGTTCTGTGTTCATGTGTTTCTTTGATTTTGATTGTTTTCTTCAGATTGTATTCCTTCCTTTAAGATAGAATTCTTTGTATTGCTGGTTTAGTGATCATGAATTCTTTTAATGTTTGTTTATCATGGAAGGTTTTGGTTTTACCATCTAATGTAAATGATAGGTTCTGTGCCTTTAATGGAAAGAAATAACAAAATGTAAACGACAATGTAAAAAGGAATAAAGAAAATTGAGACTATCTCAAAAATAACCAGAACAAAATGTTTGGATGTGTGACTCAAGGGGTAGAACACTGCCTACTCAATGTAAAACTCTGAGTTCAAATCCCATTACTATTCTTTTTAAAAGATTGTCTTGCTACCAAAGACTTCATTGCTACAAAATTTAAATGAAAACCTTGAGACTGAGGATGTTATTCATTGATTGAATATATGCTTAACCAATAGGTCATCGGTTCTGCTTCTGGAACTTAAAGGAAAGAAAAAGAAAGGATGGAAGGGAAGAGGGAAAAAAGTTGAATTTCATATTCATCCAGATGATTTAAAAGCATTTCTATAATTGGATAGGTGACCACTGACTCATCCAGCTACTTGAGAGACTGAGAATGGGAGCATCATGATTTGAGGCCAGCTGGGAGTAAGAGTTCTCAAGACCCTTCTCACCTGTAGCTGGGCATGGTGGCTCTGGCCTCTCATCCTAGCTTTGTGCGAAGTTGAGGTTGGAGGATTGTGGTTCCAGGCCAGCACTTCTTCATTGGAAGAAGCTGAACACAATATGTGTCTATCATCCCAACTATATCAGAAAGCATAAAATTTGAGGATCTTGAGAGCAGGAAGTAAGCCCCTTCCTCAAAAATAACCATTGCCAAAAAGGGGCTGGAGATAGCAATAGTGTGTCTGATAAGTACGTGTGATGTCCAGAGTTCAAACTTCAGTATTGCCCCCTCCCCTAATAAACATAAATAGAATACTGTATACAACTTTAATAATTTACTATTTGATTTTGGAATCTATATTGATAAAAAATACAAAAAGTTACTTTTTAGTGGGAATGTGGCTTAGTGGCAGAATGCTTGCCTTGTATGCATGAAGCCCTGGGTTCGATTCCTCATTACCACATAAACAGAAAAAGCCAGAATTAGCACTGTAGCTTACGTGGTAGAGTGCTAGCCCTGAGCAAAAGAAGCTCGGGGACAGTGTCTAGGCCCTGAGTTCAATCTCCAGGACTGGCAAAAAACAAAAACAAAATCCTTCTTATTTATATAACTAATTCAAGTCCATTATAGATTGTCTGGATGACTTTTAAAACATGAAACTTTTCCATGAAAAATTGTGTGCCATACACAAGAGTAGCAAGAATAATGTAATAAACACCTGTCTGTATACCTGTCACTGAGCTTCAGCATTTGTCAGAGTATGCTGTTATTTTTCCTTTAAAGTATTTTGTAACAAACACCAGACATCTTGTCATCACTCATAAATACTTAAGTGTATTTGATGACTCTCTTCCTACTAAACAAGTTACTTTTATTTCATTGTTTTGTCCTGGTATTTATAGGCTTAAGTGACAAAAATGCCATTTTACTTGTCCTTGGTTCAGGAGCAGATTAATGTGTAAATGATGCACTTATCAGCCTCTTCCTTCATGATATGCTCCTGCTTACTGTGCCCAGGAAGCCCTCAAGGAGCAGGAGCCACTTTGGTTTCAGGCAGACAACAAGAACAACCAGTATCATCAGTGTAGGATTTTTTTTTTCTTCTCCTGTGTGTTTGCTCTTATGTATTTCTAAGTCTGGTCATTTGTTGTAGTTCCACAATGGCATAAACCCACCTTTGCCTTATATGTAAGCCCCGAGAGCCTGCAAGACCTTTTTATCTGTCCATTATTCCAACATTTCCTCTGAGACGTAAAGGCATCCCTCAGCCACATAAGTTAAGGCTCTGTGTTCATGTGTAATGTGCTGATAGGGAAAGCATGGGTCCCAAATTGGACCAGTTACTTAATTACTTTGTTTTGCTGATTCTATGGGTTTGAACACAGTGACTGATACTCTCACTCAGCTTGCTATCTATGGCTGCTGCTCTACCACCCTCCATCCTGCCTTTTGCTAATTATTTTGGAGATGGTGTTTCTTGGACTTTCTTGCCCTGGCTGGCTTCAAACCATGATCTCAGATCTCAGCCTCTTGAGCAGCTAGGATAAAAGGCTATTACCCATCAACACTCAAATGTTTACTTTCATTGTGTTTTTGATGTGCAAAAAATAATATTATTTCTATATTTTGGGATTGTGTGATCATACAATAAGGTTATTGATGCAGTGCCAACGTAGAATGCAGTAGCTGCCTCAGAAAATACAGTGACTGCCTTCTTTGATACTTGCTTTTCCATTTTTCTTTCTTCATTTTTTCCTATATTCTGCTTTCTAGAGGCAGCTAGCTGTTTTCTTCTGCATGTCTTCCCAAGTGTCTTGAGTTCCACAGATGAACAGATGCGATCTGAGCAGTGCATGCAGTGTTTGAGTCTTAGGACTTGGGTCACCACCTCCTCTACTTAAAACAAAACCAGAGTAGCAGGGTGGCTCCATATTTCCTCATTTGCAGAGGAACTTTCTGTCTATCCTGCCCCAGCAGTTCTTGCTACTCTGTTGGGATTTTTGCAAGGTAGTAGAAATAACATCTCTAGGTAGTTATTGCTTTTGTTGTTTAAATTACATTTTCTTCTTACTATGTTCTGGTACATTTTACCTTCTTTAGAATGTTTTATAGCTAAATAGATAAATCACTTGGACTCTTGCTGATAAAGTAATGTGAAGAGCATTGATTGACTCATTTGAAAACACTCACATATAAAGGTACTTTCTTGAGGAAGAAAGTAAAAGTTTCTCTTTTGTCAAGAGGCACCTTAGTTTCATATTTTACAGATAACATGGGACTCTCAGGTAATACTAAAATAACTTGTTAAAAAGTTACACTTTCCAAGCGAGTGCTGTAAGCTCATGCCTGTAATCCTAGCTACTCAGGGAGCTGAAATCTGAGGATCAAGGTTCCTAGCTCAATCAGGAAAAGTCCATGAGGGAATTCCTCTAATTACCCACTAAAAAAAAGTAGTAGAGCTATGGCTCAAAGAGGTAGAGCGGTAGCCTCGAGTGAAAAAGATCAGGGACAGCACCCAGACCCTGAGTTGAAGCCCCAGGACTGGCACCAAAAAATAAAGTTATGCTTTCCAAAGAACATTGTCTATCTTCAAGTTAGAAACAGCACTTTTTGTGGGTAGCTTCACATGTTTATTTGATGTTCATATATAGCTGCTAAATTTGGGGATTTTTGTAAGACTGCTTTCTTAACAATGACTAGCTTTTAACATGAGAACAGATGCTTTGAAAGTTACTGTGAACTCGTAGCCCAGCTCCTGTGCTGTTTTTAGTACTGGGGAAGATATTGGGTGGTTAAAGTGTGAAGATGAAGGAAAGAGAATAATTAATTCTCCTATACGCCATTCAGACTAGATGTACCCTATTGTTTTGTTGTTCTGTCTTGTTCGTGTTAAGCCTCAAGTTACTCAGGGTTTCTTTTAAGCCCCTGTCAAGTAAGGTCGGGGCGGGGGGGGGGGGGGGAGAGAGGCTTTGTAGTTTGGCTCATTACTATGTAAGGCCCTGTTGCTGCAAGGGAATGTGAAGACTAATGCTTAAAGTGTAATCTGACAAATAGCATTTAGTCAAACAAAATATATTGTTACAGTTGGTTTTCTAGTTTCTTGTCTATACTAGGTAGCAGCAGAATCTGTGTGTCTGTAGTAAAATGCTTCAGCAGGGGCTGGGCCTCCTCTGAAAGCCTCACCACCAGGCATGGACCTCTTCTAGCTCTAGCTAAGATTGTGGCCTGGGACCCTTGTCTGGTATAAACTATAACAATAGCATGAGGAGTGTTTGAGTCAAAGTTTCACCTTCAGTTCTTACAGATATTGGTGTGTTAACAGGTTAGTCCTATCATCCCTAAGCATCTTCAACACTGACTGTGAGCTTGCTCCACTGATAGACTATATACCACAAATATTTTTGGAATATTATGAAACACATTGTGTTTTGTTTTGTTTTGTTTTTGTCAGTCATGGGGCCTGAACTCTGGGCCTGGGCGCTGTCCCTCAGCTCTTCAGCTCAAGGTTAGCACTTTACCACTTGAGCCATAGCACTATTTCCGGTTTTTTCTGCTTGTGTGGTGCTGAGGAATCAAACCCAAGGCCTCATACATGCAAGCCAAGCTCTCTACCACTAAGCCACCTTCCCAGCCCCTAATACATTGTCTTTTACTAATGTGGATGTTATATTAACTTTGCATCTACCAACCTCTTAATCGCAGCTCCTTACTGTGATGGTATGAATCAAATGAGCAGGTGTAAGGGGATGTAAGGGCAGTGGAAGGGTAGCCTCCTCTTTTCTTCTTCTTCTTCTTTTTTTTTTTTTTGTCTTTTATCATTACATAGTGATAGCATTTTGTTTTCTGAGTATTCTTGAGAATTCACTTGAGGCGAGATTGTGTTTGCTAGTACTGGGGTTTGAACTCAGGGGTGTTTGCTCGCTTAGCTGGTGCTCCACTACTTGAGCCACACCTCTGATCTTGCTTTTTGTTGATTATTTTGGAGATGGAGTCTTGGGAAGTTTTCTGCTAAGCTGGTCTAACCATGATCCTCCAGATCTCAGCCTCCTTAGTAGGTACCATTACAGGCATGAGCCACCCATGCCTGACTTGAGACTGGTTTTGGAGTAATTACATGAAGCAGAAAATGTCAAGTGTCTTCCCCATCATTGTGGTACATTTATATGAGGTGAAAGCCTTAGTTCTCACTGAGTCCTCATCATGTCTCTGGTAGACAGTCATGACCTGGTTACTGTCTAGTACTGGCATCAGCACCCAGAGTGAACTGTGGGAGTCCATCCTGTACTAGTGGGGTACCTCAGCTATAGGGCATCTGAGCCTGGAAGCCAGGTCCTGAACTCCCATGTGTCCTTGAAGTTACCACATAGTGAGATGATGTATTTTTCAACCTGTTTAAGGACTCCTTGATCTTCATGTTTAATCTTTACTGCAGATGTTCATAATATGTATTTCCCATTGAGTAGGAGGTCAAGATATAAGAAAATTAAAAATTAGCATTTTTTCTTTAGGCAAGGGCTGGTCTTGAAACTCCAAGGCCCACCTCAGCTTCTAAAGTGTTGGAACTACAGGCATTGGACACAGCAGCCAGTTGGCAATGGCTTTTTTATTTGTATTTAACTGCTAAGGGCTAGGGGAAGGAGAATAGAATGACTCCTAGAGTGGCCTTATTTGTGCCTGAGCCGTGGCTTTTGTGCTGTCAGTATAACATAATGGAAAAGGCAAACACACTCTTCGTGCTATTTTGAAACTAGATCTGCCATCACAGAACCTGCCGTAGGGTGCCAGAAACCTCAAGACTGGACTTGAAAAGAATTTCTATGCTAGTTCAAGGACCTGGAATTAGGGTACAGCGTGCAGAGTGAGATACTGGAAAGTTCTCAGCTGTTAGCCATGGGGTGGCCTCATTTTCAGTACTTGTGCTTCTAGAAGTCCTGGGGCAACTGCTGTCCCTAACCTGGGCCCTCATGAGTGACTTCCCTTCTGTGCTTCCCAGGGACCTTTGACTGTGTTGGTCACACTGCACTATATACCAACAGTTCTTATTACAAAAATCCTGAGAAGTGAGTGTGATAGATTTTTTGCTCAAAGAGAAAACAGGACATAAAACCATAAGTAAAGAACTAAAATTCCAGAGGTTTTTGAAGTTGAGTCCTGTTTGAATCCATCATTGTTCCTCAATCTAGGCCTCATTTTATTTTTATTAGGGAGACTGGGTTGCCTGTGTGAGATGGCAACACTCTGGTTCCTCCCTGAGCATCAGGCAGGTTGAAAACACCACATTTGACACTCAGCAGGACTCTGAACAGGCTGAGTGGCAAGGGCAGAAGACTATGGCTTCACTTGTTTTTTTTTCTACAGTGAGGAGGTCTGTAAGCGAGGCTTCACGGTGATTGTGGACATGCGTGGGTCCAAGTGGGACTCCATCAAGCCCCTGCTGAAGATCCTGCAGGAGTCGTTCCCCTGCTGCATCCACGTTGCACTGATCATCAAGCCAGACAACTTCTGGCAGAAACAGAGGACGAATTTTGGCAGTTCTAAATTTGAATTTGAGGTAACTTCTCCTGTGGTGGCAGAGCCTCAACCCACAGGCATATGGTTTATTAAAAGCTGACTTATACTCACTGTGTTAGGATGATATCAGATCTTAAGCCATGTAGTGAACATGACTTGCATGATTTACATACAGAGTTGCATTTGTTATTTCAGCAGGACCCTTTAAGTTAGGGTGTTGAACTCCTGAGACTGGGGAAAATACCATGAGAGGAAAAAGCATGTTGTTTCACTTGAACAACTATGTTGCTCAGCACAAGGCTTTGCATGGCTATAGGCTTCTAGTTGTTTTATTCCTGGAGATGAGAGAATGGCAGGGAGGAAAGCCCAATTAGAGATGTCCTGAGGGAATAACATGGAGGAGGTTGAGTTTATCCTGTCATTGATACCAGGGAGAATGGTCTGATATTTCATGTGTAAAATCTGTCAGTTATGAAAATGGAGATATTCTCTTAAAAGTTACGCAGAGTCTTGAATTCAGTCCTGTTGTCTTTTAGACAGTTATAAAAAGCAATCCTCACCTTTTTCTTCTCTACTACTAACCCCTTCTCCTTAATGTACCACAGTTCTGACAACTTGTTGGATGTGGTCAGTTTAATGAGATCATTATGAGAGGAAAGTATCTAACAGCTTGAAAGTTGGTTCACATTGTTTAATAAAATTAGATGTTTCTAATAATAAATTACAACAATTTCTGTTTGAAAAAATTCCAATGTTTATATACATGTAGTTTAACCTAAACAAAATTAGATACATCAAAATTATTCACTAAAGTATAATGCAATACTTTTAAAGGTGTATTCTCAGGTGTATTAAATTTCTTACTCTGTTTTTCTAATTTCTATCTGAAATTTGAGTTTGGTTTTAATTTAAAACTACACTGAGGGGGTTTAGTAAAAAATGAAGGTATATTTTTATGTTTCTACATGATAATTCATGATTTTAGAAGATAATTTATTGATTTTTTTGTTATTTCATAGGTAGAGGCTTTAAAGTGTGTTATATTTAATTATGAATGTTTTAAGTAAAAATAATGGTTTGCATTCATAAAGTATTTTGGCAGACTAATTTTGAACTCTCTCTCTGGGCTCTTAAAGGTACCTATCTCATTTTCTCTACTGAACTAGTTGTCTTCACATGGTTACCAGCTTATCTCTGAGCCTCCATGGAGGTTATGTGGAAGTTCAGCACTCATCTAGGAACGACCCTACAGTAACACTGTAGACAGAAGTTTGGTTGGTTAGAAGTAGTCTCTCTTTCTTTCTAGCCCTCTGCTTTCTGGTCTTTATTATGCCAGCTCAGACATATTACTTTCTGGAGGGCTGAAGGTAATAGGGGTTTATACCAGCCTTTGTTTTTTCTAGGCCACATTCCTTTTTCTGTCTTTGAATTTTATCACCCCTACCCTATTCTTTCCTTATGGCATAATAAAGAATACTACTTTGCTTCACATTCTGATAGGAAAAGGTTAAGGTTTCTTGCTTTGACTGTAATGGCTTAAAGTTTTATTACTGTTAAATTGAATTGATTATGTACAGCACTCAGACTCTTCAGAATTATAGTAGATTATTACTATGTATGAGAATTTCTTTTGCCTTTTGATCTGTGAAAAGAACTTCCACTAGTTTCCTGGGATTTTTTTCCCCCCTGCATTTTGGAAATGTCATTCATGTCTCATCTTCTGTTCCTTGATTAGAAATGGGGAAGCAGAAGATGAATATTAAGAAAATTTATTGGAGTAGTATTTATCATTTATGAAGCAGCTCACAAATAAGTATGTTTAAAAATGTTTTCGATGTCTGTAAACAAGACATTAGTGTGATGGGCACCTAGAAGAGCCTGTACATTCTCCTGGGGATGAGATGCCAAATGGTGGATTTGATGAAAGTGAAACTTCTGAGCTTGCCTACTCTGTCCTTACAACTTAAAATATTTTTTTGGTTTAAGTGACCCCAAGAAAATAGGTTAACCTCTAAGTTTTTAGACAGAAATATTAACCGCTTTAGGTATTGTGAAATACATGATTCTATAATTTTAGCTATGCTAGCTAGCAAATATGTATGTCTGTAATGAATTTGTGCTTCATAGTAGTGACAATATTTTTCTCATCCACATTTGTTTTTTGGGAACACCAGAAACAAGTACACTATATTTTCTCTAAGTAGATTAACATTGGAAATCTGTGATTAGGCCCTGCAAATTATAGCATGTTAAGACCATATAAAACTGGTTCAACTTCTCATATATAATTTTTTTTTCTTAAGACAAATATGGTCTCTTTAGAAGGCCTGACCAAAGTAGTTGATCCTTCTCAGCTGACTCCCGAGTTCGATGGCTGCCTAGAATACAACCATGAAGAATGGATTGAAATCAGAGTTGCTTTTGAAGACTATATAAGCAATGCAACCCACATGCTGTCCCGACTGGAGGAACTTCAAGACATCCTTGCTAAGAAGGAGTTGCCTCAGGACCTGGAGGGTGCTCGGAATATGATTGAGGAACATTCTCAGTTGAAGAAGAAGGTGATTAAGGCCCCAATAGAGGACTTGGATTTAGAGGGACAGAAACTGCTTCAGAGGATTCAGAGCAGTGATAGCTTTCCAAAAAAGAACTCGGGGTCCGGCAATGCAGACTTGCAGAACCTCTTGCCCAAGGTGTCTACCATGCTGGACAGGCTACACTCAACTCGGCAGCATCTGCACCAGATGTGGCATGTGAGGAAACTGAAGCTGGACCAGTGCTTCCAGCTGAGGCTGTTTGAACAGGATGCTGAAAAGGTAAAGAGCGGGCAAAAGACATGCCAAAGACGAAGACAAGACTAGGCAGTCAAGGCTAGAATGATCAGGGGAAGGGAGAGAGAGGTGAATGGCAGGCCTGTACTTACCTAATTTCCTTAGAAACCAACCAGGGTCATTCAAAGAGGACATTTTTAATTCTGGTTTCTAGCTTTACTTGAGAAGTACAGTGCTAGTTTAGAAATCCTGAGCTTAAACGACTGATAATTGGATGTTAAAATGCCCACAAAGAGAACAAGAATAGCATTCCAATTTAAAAATTTCATAGGGTTGTGCTATTGACAGCAGTAATTACATGCATTTTACTAATAGTTTGTTCTTCCTGTCATAAAAAGCCAATGGTGAAACCCAATTTAAATCTACATTTGAGTATGCTTTTAAAATAAAAGCTGAGTAATCACTAGCTATAAGTTTCTGGGTAAAAATGCAATAATTACCTATGTCTTCTTGTTTTATTCTTACATACCAGATGAGCCAGCTGGTTCAAGTGCGTTCTGAATAGCTGCTGGCTGGTGTATTCTTTGCAATGTAAAAACAGGACTCTTGAAAACAAGAATAAATTGCAAGCCACAGACATGAGTGACTTCACTGATTTTTTTTTTTTTTTGTGCTAGTCCTGGGGCTTGAACTCAGGGCCTCTGCACTGTCCCTGAGGTAGGCTAATGCTCTACCACTTGAGTCACAACTCCACCTTTTGATTTCTTTGGTAGTTAATTGTAGTCTCATGGACTTTTCTGACTTCTGGCTTTGAAACGTGATCCTCAGACCTCAGCCTTCTGAGTAAGTTAGTATTGTCTGTGTGAGCCACTGGTGCCTGGTGAGATAGGTATAGATGTAGAGATTTTTTTTTAACATGGACAGGTGAATATTTTGTCAGTAAGATAACTGTATTAGAAATCGTTGGTACAGAATATGAAAGAACTAGTTGAAAGGTGAAAATCCAGTTTGTTGTTGTTGTTATTGTTGTTATTTTGGTCAGTTTGGGGCTTGAACTCTGGGCCTGGGCACTGTCCCTCAGCTCTTTAGCTCAAGGCTAGTGCTCTACCACTTGAGCCACCGCGCCACTTCCGGTTTTCTGTTGGTTTTTTGAGGTAAGAGTCTTATGGACTTTCCTGTCTAGGCTGGCTTTGAACTGTGATCCTCAGATCTCAGCCTCCTGAGTAGCTAGCATTACAGGTGTGAGCCACCAGCACCCGGCAATCCAGTATTATTATCTGTTAAGTTTTAAGCTATCTGTTAATGTGGCTTATGTAGTGTTTTGTCAAAGATATTAGAATATTTCCTAATTACTACAAAAACTGGTCACTGACTCTGTTCAAGACACTGCAGTTAAGCTAATTGATAGTTACCTCTATTTCTTAACTATTTTTCTTGGGAATCTTTTCCACTATTTTGATAGTTCAGGAGATCAGGCCCAGCGCTTTCCCATTGAATTACACTCCTAGTCTTCCCTTTTTAAACTTAATCAATAGTCTCTCCCAGGTAATAACTGTCTTAAACAGTAAGAAGAAGTTTACTGTTAAAATCCAAAAGTCTTTTAATTTTTTTGGTCAGTTTATATTTGCTTAGGTTTCTCCATAATGGTTGCAACGAAAGGTAGAGTATTTTAGTACAGTATACTGCTGTCAGTAATCTAGGAGTAAAGAAAGCCAAGCCCAGCCAAAGACCTAGAGAAAACTCAGTTACACCTATGGTTTTCAGTTCAAGAACGGGGTAGGTAGTGCATGAAACAGTTCTGGTGGCAGAGGCCCATGGCTGCTAAAGGAAGGCAGGGGTTTTCCATGAGCCCAGAGGTTTTATCTGCTTCTTAATTCCTCCTCATTAGATAAGATTTTCTTGTAGATCCTGCAGGTTCTAGAACACTGACTTCTTAATAGTATAGACTCTTCTGAGTCTAGACACCTAAGAGTTGTCAGTGGAAGTAAGTCACCCTTTAATGTCTGGACACCATCAGCTGTTTCTCTCTTCTGCAGTGATTGCAGGTTGTCTTTTTCCTTCTGGTAGATGTTTGACTGGATCACACACAACAAAGGCCTGTTTCTCAACAGCTACACAGAGATTGGGACCAGCCATCCTCATGCAATGGAGCTCCAGACGCAGCACAATCACTTTGCTATGAACTGTATGGTAAGCTATGGTTAGATTAGGCGAGTCCTGGCCATGTGAAAAGTTTTCACCTATGGATAGCATTAGAAGCTCAAGTCCTGGTACCTCCCAGAGGCAACATGTGGCCTGCAGAGTTACTGTGGATCTACAGGGTTTTAATTGTAACTCTTCTGTTTACTAGGACCTTGACAAACTGTTTGCCATCTTTGACTCTCATTTGACTAATTGTGAAGTGGGGTTGCTATTATATATTCTCGTGGTATTACATCATTTACTCTGTTTTGTAACAAGTAACCATGGTATATGACATAAATGCAGTATTCTATAAATGGTTTTATTACCTGTGATGGTGTCAGTATAAAAAATGAAGCTAAAACAGGCAAGGAACTCCTAAAACTATGAGCGGTGTTTCTCTCTCTACCCCACTTCTTTTTCTTAGATGTAAATTTTTTTCCTTGCTTTCATTTTTTTTTTTTTTTT